TGCGTTGGTAGAATCCAAAACCGACTCATTAGTGTCAACGAAAGAGTATGAGGGGTACGATAACTGACTTTCACCCACATTTTCACGAATATTTCGTAAAATGCTATCAACCTAGTGCTGTACGCGACGTCGACATGCTCACCATGGTACACACTTATACATACAGAAATGAGGACGGAGAAGGTAGGGTGGAACAAAAAGCTAAACGTCAGATAGCGATAGTGTGCACGCACGACGGCGGGGCGAGGCAGGAAGTGGTACCCAGTGGAAGTGGAGTGCACACACACAATCGAGCACGTCGTCTGACCGACTAATCTATCAGGATGCACACAGTTCTTTGCGAGCGCCACACAACTGCCAGCCAACCAATTTTCGGATTCTATTTTACCGCAAAAATCAGAACTCGAAGCTCGGTGCGTTGCCATTAGGATTAGGAAAGCTGAACGAAGCCTATTGTCGGTATTGGTTCCATTTTCACTTACCCATCGTATAAAACAAAAAATTTTCTCAGTTAAGTGTTCTATTTTTTGTTTACTCCTCCTACACTAAAAGCCGACGAATGAATGTCTGCGTGGCATGGTTTCAAATGGTTATTTATGCCTTTTAATCGTGTTCACCGCCTTCTCTTGCATTGAATACTTCTCAATTAGCACTCTGCTTTGGTCTCTGCTTGCCCACTTCATACACCTAAAGCCAACGTTTTCCAGATTTTCGATAAATGCAGTTATGTAATGCCCCACGAACCGGACTGCGTTGTTTGGATGAAGAAAACACCTTTGGCGCAAATCCAGGACGGAGATTATGCAAGGGCGTGTCGATGACAATAGCCGGTGCCCTCTCCCCACATAACCACCAGTTCCCTTCCCGTATCACAAATAGACTGGGATATCATCTTATCCGGAAGCATCACTGGGGATTGGCATTTGCTTAGGGATCGGTTGTTGCGTCTAGTGAAGAGTCACTCTCTATTATCAAAGTCCGGGATATCCAACCGACCTCAGTGGTTAACATGTGGTCCTAAAAAGATTAACAAGAGAGGAAGGCTGCGGAAGAAGTTTTGCAGAAGCAGCAAGCATGCAACCTTTGCCAAATATAAAGCCCAAAGGAACAGGGAGAAGGTCATGATTTTCAAGACGATGAGATTCGCAGCTAATCAGACCTCTTCGAAATTAAAAATAAATGTCTACTGAATTAAGTAGCCATGTTTGCATCGATTGATTTTTGTGTTGAGAGTGACTCAGTCTTGTCCATTGCAGTATAGCTAGTGCTAGCAGTATGCTATCACTTGCTGTAATTCCACTAGCACTACCGGTTGCGGAGAAGGCTGTTGCATTAGTTATCTATCTAATGCATTGTTAGGAATTTCTGCTGGTAGCACCAACACCACCACCATTGGCAGTAGTAGTAGTAGTAGTAGTAGTAGTAGTACTAGTGGTTGTTGTTGTTGTTGTTGTTGTTGTTGTTGTCGTTGCTGCTGCTGCTGTAGTTGTTGCTGTGGTGCTACTAACAGTCTTAGTGGTAAGAGTACCATAGCCGATATTAAACCATAGCAGCCGTACTAGATTTGCAATTCCCAGGCGTATTCGATCTAACCTTTTGGAATAACCTTGCGATAAATATAAGATCATCAGATAATCTACATGCGTTTAGGAAAAGGCTGAGCCTTTATCTGAGCACTGACTCGGTCAAACTCTTATTTTCCTCATCCCTCCCGGACGACTTTCTCTATGAAATTGAGAAAAGGTCATCGGGAATGTAGGATGCCAGATCACCGTATTCGCTCACACTTTCTTCTTTGTGTGTGTGGTTTCGTTTTCTAGAATCTCTCATCCGAAATCTCTATTTTTTCGATTTTCCAGCGCATGCATCGTGTCCTTCACAGAGTGCGATGTGCTCCTTAACAAATCCTCTTAAAGAAGTAGTCAGGCCATGTTGGCGTGCATGCTCTAAGCCGACCCCGTTTCGTTAATCGCCGGTCTCATCTGGAATCCACTCTGTCCCCTGAAATTTCGAACCCTCACCTCCAATCGACGATTTTCGCGGTTGTAGATGTCATCTCCTCATTTCAACCCCAAACGGTCTGTTGAAGGTCACGATGGAATTTTCTGTTTTCGCCACCTGATAGTAGTTTGGTCCGTCAGCGAAGAGATCTTATGGTCGCATCTCCCCGTGCATTTTGGATAACTGACCCAGCCTTTAATGTCCACTCATCGGCTGGACTCTAAGCGGACTGTGACCGATCGGGTCTGGGTTCCTCTCGTCTCGCCACTTTGACGCAGATAGCCTCATTCGACCTAGGAATTCTATTATGACGATGTCCGTTTCGAATTCCTTATAAATTAGCACTTGCAGGCCAGTTTTGTCCGACCCGCATATCTACCTTTTCATGGGCAACAACTTTTTTATCTCCCTAAAAGTTAGTCAATTCATATTAATTTTGTCTTTTTTGAGAAAAGGAGTTTTTCTTCACTGATCACTAACCGTTTCTCATAAGCATGAACTGAATACTGTACAGAGTCTTTCTACTTGTTCCAAAATTCAGTTGAAAATTTATTTTTACTTGCTATGATATTACCCTTAGGGGTACTTAATAAAACCATTTATTTATTTATTTCATGATAACAGACCCTCATAGTATAGCTGCGACCGGACCAATGTGGAGCACAAGCAAGTCACTGTTGGGCGACAGCTCACTTGTTGTTCTCTGATTGGCTGGGACGGCAGTGCCTTCATGGGAATGAAAGCCGTTCCACTTCAGGAACATTCCTGCAGTTAGCAGCCTCTTCGTCCCGTCAGGTCTCTTATTCAAACTATGAAACGCCCATGCAGGTGCAAAAAGTGCGGCTGCACAAAATCGATGAGCGCTCTTAATCCAAAGACGACGGCCGTGTGACGGCGTGCGGTCGATATGTGCGTGCGTGGTGCGCGTAGAGTCTATCATACAATTAAGCACTGAATGCGAGGAACAAACTCACTTGAGGGATCAAAGTGAGATGATTGACGTGTTTGCTGCAATGCACCCGAAGTGACACTAGCAAGTGTCCCCGCCACCGAGGACGGTCAGCCTAAAAGACTGGACAGAAAGCCGCCAAACCCAGTCGACTGCAGCGGCGCGCGTAATCGGTGCCTACATGTATTAGTACGAGATTGAGGGCTTTGACGCTACTGACACGACTCGGCAGCCAAAGAAACAAGATAAGTGAGAAGATCGCTAATGACTGGAACGATGCTATCAGGAGGTAAAAGGACAAAATGGGGTACGTAGGTTAAGTGCGCAGAGGAATATGACTGACTCTATTCGAAACTCTTAATTGAGAAAAGAAACGTCGAATGAGTAAGAGGCCAAGAGGGGATACCATGTTGTTCCGATAGGAGATTGGCAAAGTTCCCAACTGTGTATTTGGGGTATGTGTAGTAGGACACTGAGCGTTGCCGCGTCAGCCAAGGAACAGAATCAAAAATTTAAAATTAACTGCCATCCGATTTTGATGTATTTGTACACCTCTGCACTCAACCACCAGCCCTAGCCAATGGTCACCAGAATGCCTCCTTTTTAGATAGTACCCTGTCCTCAGTGACCGTATCGGCTGTGGGCGACGTTATGATGGACAGAGTTGCTACTGAATGAAATCGGTCCTCGGTAAGTGTTGGCAAGGAGTCCGAAGTACGGCTAGTTAGACAACCGCAAATGGGTCTAAGTTTTGTGAGGTATGTTTTCAGAGGGATTAGATGGGGTTTACTTTCGTCATTAATAAGGAGGCTTATGGCGAAAGAATGCCTTGAATAGCAACGGGCTCGTGGTAGGGAGAGTTTAACTTGAATGATGTACCTCTTAGAGTCGTCGCATTATTGCGTAATATCAATTCACTGATTCGGTTTGCGTTACCAGAATAGTGGCGACCTAATCTTAACCTTCGTTAATTATAGATTGAATAGTACTCCGGGCTGCATCATATGCCTGTTAGATTTTTCGATGGACTCGATCAGCGCACTCAGTATTTGAGACCGGATCTGCACTGAAAAAGATGCATACTGCAAATGTAAGTTTATGTGGGTCCTTGCCTGCTCCCTGTTTACATTTCAACAATCAGCTGATCTAGCAGCCGGAAGAATTGCCAGCAGCAGATGAAAACGTCACCGTGGAGACTCGATGGTGCCCAATGACGGGACGCCGTCCACTCGACCCCCCTGGCTGTCCTGGGCCGCGCGCTTTGTCAGCCATAGGACTGGTTTGATGGCAAAGGTGCAGCCATCAGTAACCTGCTCGCCGAGAAGAGCGGGCTGCAGAGTCAATCTCGACTGTCCAGCCGACGCCATCAACCAGCTCCCCCACATGGAAACCAACATCAACCCCGACCTCCTGTCCTCTGTCTCAAAAACTATCCGCGCTACGCAACAATTATCCAACGGGAAAGTACCAGGCTCTGATGCGATTCCAGATGAAATCTACAGGCACGACGGCCACCGACTGTTGGACCAACTGACGGCGCTGCGGTTAGGTTTCTCAGGATTTCAAGGACTCAGCCATAGTTTATGTGTTCGGGCACAAAGGTAACCGGCAACCCTGTGACAATCACAGGGACACCTCGCTAGTCAACATCCTCGAGAAGATCTTCGCCCGCGTCCTCCTCAATCGTCTCAACGACCACCTAGAACAACGACTTCCGTCGGAAAACCAATGTGGATTCCGGCGACACCCCCCAACCACCGGCATGATCTTTGCCGCCCGCCAGCTACAAGAAAAGTGCCAGGAGATGCGGACTCACCGCTACACCACCTTCGTGGATTTGACAAAAGCCTTTCACAAGACAAATCGCGAGCGACTGTGGAAAAGCATGTTAGAGTTCGGCCGTCCTGAACGATTCGCGCACATGGTAGGTTAGCTCCACAATTCGAGAATGGCGCGTGCCACGGACAACAGCGCAATTTCCGAGGCATTCCGGACACCCCCGGATCCGCATCGACTACAGGACTGACCGGGCCTTCTCAACAGTCGACAAATGCCGGCCAACGATCTGTTCTTCGCCGGCAACTTTGCACTCAACAACACGACCGAAGAAGATATGCAACGGAGTATGGATTTCTTCGCCTACCACTGCGCCAACTTCGGACCGACCATCAATACGAACAAAAGGATGACTGCCGAATACAGTGTCCTTCACATCCGCGTAAACGGTGCCGAACTGAAGGCCGTGGATAACTCAGAGTACCTAGGCAGCACAATGTCACGCTGCATCAGAATAGACGACGAGGTGGCCCGCTGGATCTTCAAAGCCAGCCAGGCCTACAGCGGGCTGCAGAACTTCGTGTGGAATCGCCACAGCCTCCAAATGAATAGCAAATTGAAAACGTGCAAGGCCGTCATCCCGACGACACTTCTCTACGGAGGGGAAACCTGGGTCGTCTACTCCTGCCATGCAAAGAAGCTCAACCACTTCCATCTTAGCTGCCTCCGCAGAATACTAAGGCTGAGATGGCGAGAAATGATACCCGACGTGGAAGTTCTAGAATGGACCGGATTCCTCATCATCCACGCCATGCTGAGGCAACTGTAGCTACGTTGGAGCGGCCATCTCGTGAGGATGGAAGATAGACGCCTACCGTAACAACTTTTCTATGGTAATGTCGCCAGCGGTGCTCGCCGACCGGGCGGACCAAAACAATGCTACAAGGACACATTGAAGAATTTTCTTAAGCGACTGCATATCAATCCAGAAACCTGGGAGGACCCCGTTCAGAACAGACCGTCTCCCATTATACTGTCTCCTCAACTATTACCACCGACCGCGGGCAGAAATTGGATGCTGGACTTTATAATGATCTTACTGACCTCATCGGATGCCCTCGCATTCACACGACAGCCTACCATCTCTTATCCAACGGTCTATTCGAACTTTTCCACCATAAACTCAAAGCCTCACTCCGGGCCTATGACAGCCTCACTCATTGGAGTGATTATCTGCCCTTGGTCATGCTTGGCATCCGTATCACGCCCAGACCCGACTTTAAGTGCTCCGCCGGCGGACTTGCTTACGGAGTTCCGGTGACTTTTTGAACCGAGTCAGAGCTTCACCGACCTTGTTGTTACTAACTGTATCCAAAGGTTGCGCCAACCAATGGCTAATCTCCGAGTCATACCCTCCACGTGCTCCAGCAAGCAAGTTGCATACTAACCCTAACTTGGTAATGTGTGTTTTGTTCTTGTCCGCGTAGCTGGTGTTCGCAAGCCACTATTACGGCAATAATTCGTTCATCTAAGAGAGGAAGTAATGCGGTAACATGAGAAGCGTTTTGTTTTAGTGTGTTAAAATACGCCTGTAAACTTAGACACAGCTTTTAATAACGACCCAACGTCAGTCTGCATCCTTGCGGCTAATTTGTTTTTTTTTTCATTTGTCTGACGTATACACCTTGTAGGAACTGATTTTTGCGTCAGAGGATGCACCAGTTTAGGTTCTGCAGGCTGTTTAGCCTTGTAAGCCACTGCGCCTGAACCCGTCTCTGGTAGTCCTGCCACTGCCTTGCAGCCAGAGTCGGGGGGAAGAAAGAATGTTAAGATGTCGCGAAAGTCTGCCTCATTGTGAACTAAGTAATGCGCAAGTCATCGTCCTGCTCCCGCCATGCACTATAGCACACGGTGAACATCGCCAAATGCGACAGTCGAAATGTTGCAAGTGCACATGCATGGTGTGGGGCTGTTTTAATGGAGATTTTCATGCGTACGCCTACGACCGAAAGGGCGCATATAATGGCCAAATGTCCTTGGGCAGTGCGGGCATGTGGGACGGGATGGTGATGTCAGTGGTGGCGGTAATGATGGTAGGTTGGGAGATGAAAGGCGGATTGGTCGCGATGGCATTGCCTTGTGGCCCTAGGTGTCCAGTGTGGCCAATCCGTCCCCTAAATGTCTGTTGACAATGTGGACGCAATGGTCGAGTTAGGGTGCCTGCATTGTTATTCTGCGGCATTAAAGTCTTGTGAGCTTTTATTTTTGCTTTGGCAACGTCTGTGCGGTTGACTTCGGGCACAATTGCTCCAGTCTTTACGCTGTTGCGGCAGGCGGTGTGAGTGTGTATGTCTTTACTCAGAGCGCTACTATCGACAAGCAAAATCCTATTTTTGAAGGAGAAGACGGAAGGCACCAGAATGAGGGGTTTGTTGTACACAGAACCCGGAGTTGTCCTCTCAGGCGGCAGTAGACACTGGCGAAGCCAGGGCTGGCGTTGACTGCGTCCAGTCAGCCCTGAGAGTCCCTGAGACAGTGGTGGCAGCTACTTTTGTAGACTCATGGACCAAGCTCAAGTGGTGTCCAATCAGTGTGTGTTGCATTTTCCGAGGGGTGGTGTCCCCAGTGGCTTAGGTTGTGGTTGCAGGGGGAAGATTCGTTCAAGTGGCCCCATGGGCAGCTGCGACTGTGCGGCCGCAGGTGTACCCGAGCAGTCGGTCGTGTGACTTCAGGTCAGCGCGTCTGGAAGGGCTCACTGCAAAAGGGTGAATGACCTTGAGGCAGCGAGGTCTTGAACAATGACGCCAGACCGGTCGTGATGACTGGCCGCCACAACGCAATGCGCTACGTTGTCTTCTCAAGCATCAGGATTAAGCTGCAGGCACCTGAAAGAGGTCTTCAAGGTGTTCTTGTAACGACGCTTAGTTCCACCTTGCTTGCGACCATCCGTAACGACGTTACCGCAGAAGAGCGCTTGGATGGGTGCCTGTCATCCGCATGGTGTAGTCGCTTCAACGCATTTGCATATCACTGATGCGGAGCGTTACCGTTCTTTCCAGGACTCCGATTTCTGAAATCTCCTGCCGGTTCAATTTCGATATTCTACGGAGGCATCTGAGGTGACATTTGTTGAATTCTGTTGTTTGGCTCTCAAACACAAGCCACGTCTTCGCGCGTTATCAGAGAAACGGCTTCATACATCCTCAGTCTCGTGTTGAGGAGGATGTCGTGGTGGCTGGGCTGAAGTTGGCTGAAGGTTCATACGCAATTTCACTATCGGTCTTAGTATTTGTTGAAACTAAACTCCGTCTGAAGGCCCCACCCGTATAACCCCTATTACCACCATTCGCGTTAGACAGGGTCCTCAGGTTATCTGTTGCTGACTCCGGGTACAAACCATACCCTTGCCGGTTTAGCTATGTATTTTGGGCATAATTCTCGAATTCCTTTATCTCTGTCCTTCAAGTTGCAGGGCTCTTATTTTCGCACTGCGAATATTTTCCCCGGTCGGCGTTTTACCCCGATTGAAGCATGTTGTTTCGAAACGACTTAAGTTCAGAATCCGACAGGTGAAAATTCTCCGAGACTAATGAAGAAGAATATCGTAAGACGTTTGCAACGGTAAAAATTTGATAAACTGTTTCGAGAACGCTGTTCCTAAACACTGATTATTTGGTGTCTCATATTCATTTTGAAACGTGCTTTTTATTAGTAGTTGCTCAAGCACAAAAGGAGAATACTTTATGAGCACAATTTTTTTTCTAAAACGAACAGGCAAACAAAACGTCAATCTTAGACTTTATCCAGCATATCAGACTACTTTTTCCGCTAGAATGATCACTGTGGACGCCAGTCTACTGGATGCAAGACCCGTGTTTTACATCTATATAGTCATTTGAATTTACTCGGTGGACTACCGCAAGCAAAGGGTTTACGAGTTTGTTCTTAATCTTGACTCAGGGAAATTACGGGCTGAACCAGATGTTGAATCCTAACTGGAGAAAATTTACGTGCGCTTCCTACTCCCGCCCAATAAAAAGGACCTGTGAGTCACAGCTACTTTCTCTTGGAGTTCCATAAGCGGTGTTTGCAGTTGTATGTAGAAATAAAATTGTTGCTTAACCTTTATTAAACATCCAAAGAAATTGGATTATCGGGTCAACTCTTCTGAAGATTGCCACATATACATTTGTACAGTTGGATTATAGGGCTAATCACACACCTTCTACCAAGAACGAAGTGTAGCCAATCTATCGAATGCTGTAGATACATTCAACTGGGTTTGTTAAGGCCGGCTGTCAATGGAAAATAGGCCAGAAATGACCACTAAAGTCTTCCTTATCTTTGTCAGCACTCCCTTTTTTACATGTATTGCTGGTTGCTATGCGACTGCTTGTGAGGGCACAACGGGACGAGCATGTCTCGTAACCTGATTGGTGAACGTCTTCCCATAATATTCAGAATGACCTGCTCATATATTGAAGTTTCTCCAATAAATTCCGACCGAAAAATCTTCCCTAATGTCCTTAGTAATTCCAGTGTAACTCGGGCTTACAAAATTTGTCTTTAGCCAAAGAAAGGTAGAAGACGAATGTACTTTGAACAGGGGTGCACGGCTTATGGTTCCATAGGCTTATCACTATGAAGTACAGATGCCGTTGCGTAAAGTGACTATCAAAATCTCTGAATCCTTTATATGGAAAATGTTTCATCAAATGCTCGCACCCTTTCGAGACCAAATGCGCATCTACATTCATTCGTATCCTACCTAGCACATCGTACTATACCTTCTTTTGATCTATTTTGCTACAAGGCTTCAAGAAATCACTCGTATAATTTTATATTGGACTCATAAAACGCATGATGGCTCGCTGCTGCCCTTTCGTTTGGCAGTGAAACAAACTGCTACACATGTTGCATAGGTATTGGCTAAAAGCCCAGACATGCATGTTTCGCCGATATTCTGCCGCTGCATGACACGGCTCGAGGGGTTCAACTCCTCAATGGGGTCCCCAGCGTTTGCCGTGTGTCTTCTGGTAGATACTCTCGTTTTTGAATTTCAGCTCCTTAATAAATTTAGAAATTGATCACTAACTTGGAGTAAGTCAGTTGGAGCTCAGTTCTAACTGTACTGCCCTAAGGTGATAACCTCATCTTTTTACTCCTTTGCATTGGGCGGCTGCGAATTGGACCCGACTTCTGGACTGTTCATGGCATGTGAAACTACAAGTTTGTGTTTTATGGACGAGATCATTCACGATAGAGGAGGATACGACCCCCCAGACCCCCTTGTCGTAGCTGATTGGCAGCACGATAACTCATGAAATCGAAAAATGTGATGTCAAGTGAACACGAAAATCAAGACGGTTTCTAGCATGAACTGTTGCTCAGAAAAGACTTCCTCCCCTTAATACGTATTCGGAAAAGCAAAGACCGTTGGCACATAGTGCGCGGGCCTACTCTGAGGGATTTATGCAAATCAACTTCGTGTGATCGTCCGGCCACTTCGATCCTGACGACTAAACGACTACTGCGTGTGCTTTTCTAGGGCTGGATGTCGATTAATCGGGACAAATATGGGCAACAGACTTTAGTCCGATTAGGGGCCTTTTTATTTTTCCAAGCAACATAAGATGGCTGCGGCATATATCGGTTTTTCGTGTCAATTCGGTCGCACAAAAGTTAATAACTCCTAAAAAATGTTCATTTTAGTTTTAGTCTTATAGTTATGCAAATGCACATAATAGTTATTGTGAAAAGGTTATTTGGGGCTGTCCTACCTTGTTTTATTTATGCGTTGCCAATGAACAAAATCAGAGAGGACTTCTG